GTCAATTCCCCCTTCTCTAGCTAATGATCCCAGCTGCTTGGCTTCTGTACCTTCTAGTTCGTGACCATCGGCCCCATTGTCCCAGCATCGGAGTAACCAGGTGATGATGTGCTCCCCTGGTTGACGGGTAAAAACTTTTCGCATATTCCGCAGCTCGGTTGAGGTCCGAGGTTGAGAAGTTACCTCTTCTTCTTCTTCTTCGTCATGTGATGATGACTCCTGATCAGATTCTGGACCAGGTGGTGAATTCATTGGTTCTTCATCTCGCTTCACCCTTCTTGCCTCCTTTTTGCTTGTTCTCTTGAAATCAGTAGTGGGCAAAACACACTCTGTATGCGTGTTAGCATGGTGATTCCCATCACCATCAGCAAACAAGTCTCAACAGCATTAAAAGGCCATTCAAAAAATTCAAAACTCTCAAATGTAAATGGTCTGGGGGGATGACTAGGAGGGTAAAAGGATGTCTCCTTCACAGGTTGAGCACCTGAGAAGGAGAAAAAAGATGTGTAATTGCTAAGCACCTCCGTCATATACCTCCCAAAGTATAAAGGTGGTGACCACACTGGGAACATAAGCCAGATCAGTTTCATGATCAATGATTCTATTGTATTACAAGTCATTACCATAAAGTACAATGGGATAAAAACCTTAGCCCAAGCCCCACACTTGAAAAACACTAATACAGCAAATACCGGATGGACGTAAGATATGATATACTGAAACTGTGAGATCAAGAGCAAAAACCTTGAGAGCCAATAAATCAGCATTGTGACGAGTGACTATCAATCCAGTCAGATCTGTTCTTATCTCAACCCCTCGTGCCCCACGTTGGGCGCCAAAAAGAACTGTCGTGGTTTAAACCCAGTCAGGTAACTTGTTCACTCACTCCCAGTGAGTGGTGCCGAGCTGACAACAATCGAGGTCCGTGTCCATCTCCCCCCCCCCCCCCCCCCACCGGGGCTCTCCCCTTCCCCGCTCCCGGAGGAACGGGGAGGAGGATCGAGAGAGTGCAACTCCTATGGGTTGAGACAAGAACAGTCCAGCAACAAATCACCACCGCTACTATCAGCTAAAACAATGATAAGGGAAAATAACAAGGGAAGAGAATACCATACCACCGGCCAAGAAAGCGAGTTCCACCCGGAAGCCCCTGTCCTTCCGGGTAACTCCCAGTTACCCCCCACCCCGGGCATGACGTGCTGTGGTATGGAATACCTCCCCGGCTAGCCCGGGTCAGGCGCCCCGTCTCTGCTTCCTCACAGCTTCCCCTCCTCCCTGGCAGAGCATGAGCCTCACAGAGTCCTTGGTCAGGGTAAACATCACTTAGCAACAACCGAAAACATCGACTTCACCAACACTGTTCTCAAACTAGAAGTCAAAACACAGCACTGCACCAGTTAACACAAAGGAAAAACATGACTGCTACTGCTGAACCCAGGACAGTAAGATATAAAAATAATCAGAAATAGCTCTGATATGGAAAAATGATTGCCAAATGTCCTCCTTATGGATGATATTATTCTCAAAATAACTAAGGGGGGGGGGGAAGGCATTGTACTCCCCTTCAGTTTGACATCTCATTTACCCTCTTAATGCCTCTCATTCATTTTGACCTTGTTTAATCACGATATTGATTTTAAATATTTTGTTTTCTGAGAATTCCAATGAATGTGACAGTCCTGATAATGGTCTATGCTATGTGAATCCCTGTCAATTATAAACTAGTTTCAAAGCACTAATGACACTGAAGTACATCAGACATTAACTGTTCTTAACCTAAACCAAATACGTAAACGCAGTGTCGAATAGTTGTATTCAGGTTTCTCACATTTATTTTTTTTCAGTGAACATTTCTAGAAGATCTTTAAAATATGGCAAGCTATTCATCAGGATTTTTGAAGTTGTACAAGAAAGGATAACATAAACTGAAAAAGTTTAAAATCAGGAGTAGACTAGGAGTCAATAGATCTTTGGAACATATTTCAGCTCTATCCTGCATCAGAAAAAATACACTGAGGGGGGAAGGGAAATCTCATTTCTGCCTTTTTTTTTTTAATTAGTCTTTCTTTTTCACAGTTTAGAAAGTTTCTGATAAAACATGTGTTTTCTTCTGTCTCAATTGTAAAACAATAAAGCTACACGGAAAGAAGCAGATAACTAAAGAATCTTACATTTCTTCTTTGAAAATAAAATGTAATAAATATTACAGGGATTGAATTTGTTCACTTTAAATTGTGCATTAGAGGCAGATTTATTCCCTTTCTCCTCAAAAATAAATATGAATACAATGGCAGGTCTTAAGCCCTCAGTATTACTCCTCCATGCTGTTTCAATGCAAATAGTGAAACTATTTCTAGAAATTAAAATCACTCTTATAAATGGTGGTTAGTAAAATCAAACGTTGTCAAATATTGTTTTATTCTTCTTTTGTTCTAAAACAGGCTCAAACTTAAAGAGGGAAAGTTCAGGTTAGATATAAGGAAGAAGTTCTTTACTGTGAGGGTGGTGAGGCAGTGGCACAGGTTGCCCAAAGAGGTGGTAAATGCTCCATCCCTGGTAGTGTTCAAGGTCAGGCTGGACAGAGCCTTGGGTGATATGGTCTAGTGTGAGGAATCCCTGCCCAGGGGGGTTGGAACTAGATGATCTTAAGGTCCTTTCCAATACTAACTATTCTAAGATTCTATGATTCTAGAAAACTTTACCCGAACAAAATTCAAGAAGGTATATGCTGGTTTTGGTATAAAAATGCAAATCTGCCAAAATGCTATATGCTATTTTGGCTTCATAGAGACCAACTGTAATCACAAATTCAATCAAATTTCCTAGCACTGTCTGCACAAGATAAACAGTTACCTCTCTTACTTAGAGGTATGTTTCAACATTTTCAGATGAGAAATATTCATGTGTTCATGCAGCTTTAAGACATTCTCCAAGTTTCTGATTAGTTACTGTCTCTGGTCATTGAAGAAAAGTCAGTGACAGAGCTTATTAGTAAAAAAAATATTAGCATCATGAAAGAAAAACATAATAGATACTAAAGGAAAGAGTGGAAAGGCAGCTATAGAGAATTGCATGTTTCTCAAGACATACGGCACAAAGGACACTGATTAACAAATACCATATAAACCAGAATATTCTAAGTGTGTTATATGTAAGCCAAAGCTTCAGGGAGTAAGATAATTTTGTTTCTTTCCCTACTAAAAAAGTATAAAAGTATAAAGTAATCATGATTGATTGATTAAAAAAAAAAATCAGTCTCTGTTTCAATCTTCCTTGTTTTATAAATCTTTAAGGCACCTCTGCATTGTACCTCTTGAGTTCATTCTTCTCATACAGTATGATCGCCTGTAACTCTGTTACTCTGAGGCTGAAGACTCAACACCCAATCTTCTGTTAAGCTGAAAAGAAGAAAATCTTCAGTGATCTTTGCTTTTATAGAAAATCTACTGTACAATTTCGAATTAGATTTTGACACCATTTTTTCCCAGAGCAATGGGGTGCACACATGCACCTGACCCAACATTAATAGTCATATAATTTAGCAATTCAAGTAATTAATAATTTGCCCCATTATCTTCCATAGCAATTGATGTCTAGCAATCAGTACACATACAAGTTTACAATGCTAATTTTGTCATTTTAGAATAATCATCTAGGACCAACATAGCCTTTGATTTTCTAGCAAACAAATTTCTTCTGTTTTTGAACTACAGTCCTGAAATTATCTCAAACTGACCTTCAAGTATATTACAATCATCACCCTGCATCTCTATTGTGTTTCTTGAGAGTTTGCTTCACCTCTGCTTCAAGCTCATTTACTTTCTCAGTAGAAATCATGTCTCCGCTGAGATAAGAACATGTTAATTTTACCACAAATTTATTCCAGAAACTTTTTGCAGTGATTTCAAACAGCCAGTTACAAGACTTATTCTGATACATAAGGAGTTAAAAAAGAAATTCATTAATACTTTCCTTATGCATAATCCTACAAACCTGTAGTACACTAAACCAGATAATGGTATGTTGCCTTATTTCCTTAGTTCAAGGCTTGATTACATTCTGTAACATGGAAAATTCCTATGCATTTTTAAGTTTAAACCAACATGTTTAAGTTTAAGCCAATATCTGAACCAATATTTAACCGACACCTAAACCAATGTTTAAACCAATATGTTTAAGTTTAAACCAATATCTTGCATATGCGAAATATTGCACATCTGTGATCATATTCTCATCTGCTAAGAATGGAAAAGCTTTTTGAGTTATTTATGGGTTTCATGTTTTGTGTTTCTCCTTCTCTCAAAGTACCTTTTATGGTCTCGTGTATAGTCTGAAAACATGTTCATTCAAGTGAGCTGCTGTAGATTTCAATTTTCTGAAAAGTGCCTTTTTAGCCAGCTAACTTCCAGTCATACCCCTGTTTTCGCTAGACATAAATAACTTTTACTAACACATGGGGAAACACCATAGACTAAAATCTTCCAATCTCTCAGAAAACAGACATCTAAAAAGGACATCAGCATCAAGCAACTGTTTCACAGATGATGAGAGACTGAGCCATCACATCTCTGAGAAAAGCTAACCACTTGCCCTCATTTAAAGAAGCATTAGCAGTGCCTTCCAACAAAAAGTCCACTTCTTTTCCACAGCCGTATAAAGGGCATAGATTCAGAATTCAGCTGCCTGTTCAGATCCTCTTAGCACATCTGAGATTGTCAATCAGGACACAAGAAAAAATTAAGTTAAGGTGGGATCTGCATGACATGCTCCTGCCTTCATATCCTTATATTGCTGTGGAAACCATTCTACAACTATTCAAATTACATCTACAGAGAAAATTGAAATAGTGTCTCTTCTTTGAATCTATGCACTACTATCCAAACACCTGGTTTAAAATCTGTAAGATTTTTCTGTAAGAATATATTATGTATATTTAACATTCATAATCTCCTGTCAAATTTTCAAGCAATAAAAGTGAAAAATATTAATTGCAATTTAATTTAAATTTTATGCTAATTGTCAGTGACCTTTGAACCTTGGAAGTTGTGCTACTATCCACGTGGCAATGTAATTATGGAATTTTATTTCCTATATGCTGTAAGCAATGAAACTGCTTTAATTGACATGATATATATTTGCAATAACTTTTGTTTAAATTAAAAAGCAATGACAATTTTAGCTCTCTGGAAACTATTTTTATCAAACTGGTTATTTCTTTAGAATAAGAGATATGCAGAAGCAAACACTTTGCAGAATATACAATATATGTTTTAAATCCTAGTGTAGTTTGTATGCATGCCATTTATATTTAACACTTCCATACCTCACAACGATGTACACACACATAAAGACAAATCCAATCAGATCTAGGCTGCCTTCAGGAGATTTTACTTTCAGCTGATTTTTGATTGATTGTTGAACATGCTTCACAATGACTAAGTGGGATGCCATTTTATGATCCAGTATCAATGCTGCAGTGCACCGCAGATGTCCAAAAGAGGGTTACAAAATAAAATAAAAGTAGTTAGTTACTTTACTTTTTTTCCTCCAATTTTTAAAGGGCAATCTATATTTAGCAAGCAGTCCTGTTGTGCTTTCAAAGAAAAACAAACATCGCTGATTTGTTTCTTTCTTATTTTATCTTTTTTCTTTGTCCCCATACTCATAGAATAAGTGCTAGAAAGCAAACTACAAATAGAGTTATAACATCATACCAAGGAGGATGTTTTTGTTTGGCACCAATTAAAAAAAAAAATATTTTGCCATCTGGAAACAGGTATTTTTCATGAATTCAGGTAAATTTCAGACTAGCCTTTGAAATAGTCACAGGAGCTGCTTTTGTGGGGAGTTGAAGTGAATCTTTGTAATCCCATCCCCCAAACTGAGCATGCCGAATTGCATAAAATATTTTTCTATTGCCAGAAAAATCACAATAACTTCTAATTTTTCCATAAATGTAAAAAGAAGTATTCTTTGAAATTACCTTTTATGTTCAAATGGTGCTAACAACAGAAGCTACGTACTACATAAAGATGGATTGAGGAACAATGAAAAGAATGAGAACACTCACAACTCAAAGGTCTTGCTCTCACCCACAGCACAGGGCCTCATCTGATCTCGCAATGGTTTATCCTGCTGTGACTGAATAGACTTCATTAAGCTTCATCCTTTATATAAACACAAATGAATACATAAATAGAAAGCAAAGAGTTGCACAGATTTTACACTAGAAAAGGGGGGAAGGGAATCTTAATCAGGAAGCAGCCAGCTACAGCTCCAGTTTTGCTTTCAAAAGCTATTCATATACTACTTAGCAAGAAAGCTTATTTACATCATAGCTGCAAAGTAACAAAACCAGCACAGTATTGTAAAACAGTAGGGAAATTTTGCCTGTCAAAGAAATGGCATTTCTCATGTGCAATGAAAACTCAACATGACCTAAATTAGGTCTTTAAATTAGAAGCATTAAACCATACCAGCCTTTTTTAATAATTTCTTTTTGCTCCATGTTAAGTAAAGAACTCTCTTCTTTCTTGGATCCTTTCCTAGCAGCACCAGTTAGTCATCAGAATGTACTTAGGACTGATACTCCACAATGAGCCAGTACCACCCCTCTCACTCCAGCATCTTTTCAGCAAACTGTATTTGGGAAAAGAAGATATAAAAAATAGAGAAAAGAATAGACAATTTCAAAACATAATTGATTTCTGTTATGCTGAAAAAATAAACACATTTTTGTCATCAATTATTTTACTGTAAGTAGCTTCTCATGAACTAATCCCTTTTAAAAATAAAACAACAAAAAGGTCTGTAAGATAAATTTTGTAAATGCCACAGAAGCCCAGGATAACTCAACATACCTGTAGCTATATTTACTCAGCAAACAAACCTTCGATTTGTAATTTGCTTCTGATGTAGCCTAAAAGCACTTTATTATATTAAAGCTTATTGATGCCTGTAAGGCCTTTTTACCTGCAGCTATTTCAAACTTAGTGAAATAATGCAACACTAATCTCTAAGACTTTTATTCCATAATAGATGTTTTTCTCACTAAATCAATTCAAAGGCTAATTGGGGTGGAAGGTGGCTATCTCTAGTGGTTATAAATACATTTGCATTACTATCAATCTTTTACACGACTGATGTTTAACGAGGCTGAACAAGAACTCAACCTAGCTTTGGACGTTGAAACTCCGTGCAAACTCGTAGTCAATGCTGCCATCACATGGAAAAACGGGAAAAAGAAGAGTTTTCAGTTCGGGCTTCTCTCTCATTCTTGCTTCCCAGCTAGCACACACACAAGATGGCAGGGATGCAAAATGCTCTCATCAAACTGATTATTTCTTTAGAATTGGAGATACTCAGAAACAAGCATTTGGAAGAATGTACAATATATTTTTTAAATCCCAGTGTATTTTCCATGCAAGCACTTTTATCTCCATGAATGCCATGTATGTTTCCATGCATGTCCTGTGCATTCCAAGGTCCAAGCAGCTCTTCAAGAGTGCAGATACTGCTGTTGCCTAAACATCCTCAGCTTCACTGGGCACCTGAAACTCAGCCTATTACCATCTACCATGTTCAGGAGTGTAACAAAAGGCAGCATGTACCCTGTGACAATTTAAACCAGACAGGCCTCCCCTCAAGGTCTGGACAGGCCAGAAAAGGTTATTGGTTCCTTCAATGTATCTTGGACCATTATCTATGTACATACATTCTAAGTCACTCAAAACATCTGTAAGTACATTCCATTCTCCTGTCCAATGAACAGGCTCTTGTCGCTTTATGAAATAAACTTGATTACACACACAATCCAGGGGAAAAAGACAAACGCTTTGCAGTTGTACAGAGACCATAATTTAAAGTGCTATATAATAGTCCACAAGTTTCAGGTGTCAGAGAGAGACAAGAACCCTTAATCCTCATCGTGTGACCATCTCCAAAATATTTACAGACAAGGCTGTTTATGGCATTCCTGTGAGCTAGGTAGAACAGGATATCCAAAATACAAAAGTCCAGTTTCCCTTCCCAAAACAAATTGAGTTTGACTGGAACAGGTGATAAGGCTTTCCTTAGACAATAAACTTAAATAAACATTTTGTGGCTGAAGAGTGTTTAAAACCATTTTTATAGCTTTTGCCTAATAAGAAATACATAGATATGGGAAATAAAGTAGCCATTTTTCTACTAGAAAAGTTACTTGGGGAAATACTTGTTTTCTTTATTTGGTTTGTCTTTGAAACAATTAGATTCATTTAAGTGGGCTCAATGACTTTTTCCTCCATGCATAATTTCTGCATGGACAGCTTGAAATAAAGTGTATCTTCCTCATGAAGAAAGGATGATCTAAGCCAGCTATTTAACATACGCCTACAAATCTAACCCATCACCAGCCAAACTGTTAAAGGCATTATCCACAAAAGGGTCATACGGAGTGAATGGCAAATGCTTAATAAGCTAGCAGCCAATACAACCTTTATGAAGTTACAGCATTATTAGGTGCTCTCTAGTGTTTTACAACCAGAAGCTTAAAGTGGCCAATTGCTGATACAGTAGAAGACTGGGTTTATCGAAACCAGTTATTATGATTCCAGAATTCTGCTTTCATATGCCTAACTGTAAACAGTTCATAATCCATAAGTTACAGTGTTAAGACAGCAGGCAAGAAACTTGTATTCTGTTACTACTGAGCATTCTTACATAAAGTGTCAGAAGACAATTTCCTCTATAAATATTAATGCTGTAGCATAATACTTCACCTTGCAACTGAAGGCAAGCCTCTGTCAATGAATACACAGGCTAAAATGAGTACTGAAATAGAAGGGAAAACAGCATCATGAAGACAGACAAAACGAACAAAATAGTTAGAATTAGTTACAAACACATATGCATAATGGTAGTTAATAGCACTTTCTATAACTACAGTGTAAATTTCCACTGTATTTTAAAAGGAATTAGAGGATATAACTGTCAGATGGTCAAAAAAAAAAAAAAACAGCAAACAAACAAAACAACTTAGAAATCTTTATCAAGACTTCAGCCAGGAATTCACTTTGACAGAAAAGAAAGACTCCTGAAGAAAAGTTCACTTTAGGAGCCCTGTATCCAAATGGGCCATGAACATTACAAAAACAACCAAACTCCCCTGAAATGTAGTGCACATGCTGCAGCATTAGTATTGCTCCTTTCATGTATTCCAAGATCACAACTTGAATAACTGACATCTTGAATTTATGCCTCAAGTACTTTTAAATGAAGTATTTAATTAGAAGACAACTGAATATTAATTTATTTTACCAGAAACAAAGACCTTCACTCTTCACTAAATGTTCCAGAAAATGACCAGTTGAAGACAAATCTAATTGGTTTGCACAGTGTAAGCAGATGTGAAAAATGAGAAACTAAGTACAGATAAAATATGCAAGTTGTCAAAATAGACATTCCAAATATAAAAAGGGTAGAGATAGTCCATTCCAGATTATTTTCCCTGACATTGTAAAATACTCCAATGCATTATCAACAGCAATAAAAAAACAAACAAAAAACCAAACAAACAAACAAAACCACAAAAAACAAACAAACAAACAAACCAAAACAAAAATAAAACAACAACCCTAGAGCAAAAATAAATATGGAAAAGAATGCAGCACTGAATGTGAGGGCTGGTTAACATGCCAGTGCAACCAAGACTATGATCAGAACCTGCCAATTCAACTAATGTTGCAGCTGTTTACGAATTTCCCTACCACTGCTATGTCACTATAGAGGAGAAAACATAGAATCATAGAATACCAGGTGGGAAGCTACCTCAAGGATAATCTGCTCAAACCTTTCTAGGTAAGCATGACCTAGGATAGATGTCCCATCACCCTGGCCAGCCAAATCTTAAAAGTGTCCAACATTGCAGAATTCACCTTTTCCCTGGTGAGACTATCCCAATGGCTGATTGCTCTCAGCGTGAAAAAATTTTCCTTCTGTATCCAACTGAAATGTCCCCAGGAGTAACGTGTGCCCATCACCCCTCATCTTTTCCATGTGACTCCTTGCAAAATGGGAGTCTCCATCTTCTCTGTATCCAGCCTTTAAATACTGGAACACAGTGACAAGGTCTCCCCTGACCCTTCTTTTCTTCAGGCTGAACAAATCCAGCTCTCTCAGCCTTTTCTCATGCGGCTTCCCAGCCCTTGGATCATCTTTGTGGCCCTTCTCTGGACCTTCTCCAGCATGCTGATATCTTTTTTGTATAGCAGGTACCAAAACTGAACACAGTATTGAGATGTGGCCTGACAAGCTTTGTGTGCCTTAGAGCTTTCACTGCTATTATGCAAGAGCTGAACTTGTGATTAGTAGTTGGATGTTTTACAGGTAACAAAACTACCCCAGTCAAGTGGTAGCATTTTATGATCTTGCATTTTGAGTACCAGCCTCTGAAATTCTACTATTATTGCACAGAATTACAAGTTTTTTAATACAGTAGGGTTAATGCATATTTTCAGAAGTAAAAAAAAAAAAAATTAAAAGAAATAGAGAGACAAGGGTTTGAATAAACTCTGCTGAACTAATCTAGGAAGGTTAACAGCAGATTTTCCAAGCATGTACTTCTAAAAGAAGTACATGACAGTTAACCCAGTGTAGAATAGGAAAGCTGAAGTCAAAGATGCTCTGGATACATGTAGAAGTTGGTGTTCAGAAAGCAATCAGGCAACGTAACAGAAGAAAAAATTCACTGAGGCCATTAAACTGATAAATACTGCTTGTGACTGAGAATGTGTCTGAACTGTGGAAAGCTGAAAGAGGCAGCTACTGGGGGAAGCATCACTATAAGCTTTCCACCCAACCCATTCTATGATTCTATGATTTTCTGACATTCTTTCTTAGGTACCTGATAATGATCACTGAGGGTGACAGACTGCTAAATACGCAGGTAGTCTGATGCAACAGGGCTGTTCTTGCAGTGTGACTTTCAAAACATTATCTGTTTTCACTCTTCAGTCTTAATTTGAATTAAGCATATTTGGAAAAACTACATTTGGAAAAAGTCACAAAAATTCATTAGAAATGTCCCAGTAATTACCTGTCTAACACCTGAGACCTGCTCATGGTTTCTGATGGCTATCTTGATTTAAATACACTTCACTAAAAGCTTCACAGCTGTTGAGTCAGACAACCAGTGTCATCACATGGAACACTGACTAGAACTGATCAGCTGAGTTTCCACACAAACTGATTCTGTGCCTTTAGCTCTGCACCTTCTTCCGTAGATTATGATAGCTCACTACTACACTGGTCTTAGTTATCATGCTTGCTAAGGGAAGTACTAATGATCACACAGCATCAGTGAAAAAACTGATGTTTTACTTATGTTAATAAGCAATGTTTAAATTTAAATCTCTAAGACACTTCAGCAACCATAAAGTTCAGTGTATGAGTATTTATAAGTTAAAAATTATAGCAGCTGGCTATCTGTGCTTTTGTTTTATTTTGTTTTGATCATTTTAAACACTTTCTGTAAAAAGAAAGACGGTTTCTACTGCATGGTAAGATCATCCACATGGAAGCAGATGCACATTTTTTGTTGAATTGGGCCCTAAATTGTACCACATTTTATCAAGCAGAAATGCCCTAGTTTTGTTGTACTACATTACCATCTATTAAAACAAAATGGGAATCTTTTCAGTCTAACAGCTTTCCTTAAAAGACTCTCATAGGCAGGTTTGATCTTTACATTATGAATACCATTTCATTGTATGCTCTCACATTTATGTTACTGCTTAACATGAACTGTCACTGAAATGTGACCTGACTATTTCTATCTATATTTATTCATGCCAAGGTTTCTGCTTAATGGCTGTGGGGTTGAAAGTGTAGTATAGTTACTGTAGGAATAATATTTCCTGATATTTCTGACAATGAAGGTCATGCCAGCTTCACATAAAAGGAAGTGTACTTTTTCATGATTTTCAGTTGTGGGATACATTTTAAATTACTTATTATAATCACCTATAGCAGTGTTGGCCAAAACTGCTTTTTTTCCCCAGCTCCCTTTTTTGTCTTTTAAATCAGGCATATAGATTACTGTCAGTATTGCCCTGCCTACAGAAAGAAAATACCAAATATTCAGATTCAAAACTTACTGAGCAATACAGCTGAAATAAAAAAAGCCCAAACGCATTGCCTGAGTTCTATTCATGCATTCTTATCCCACTGGCAAAATAATTTTACCTTTCTAGACTAAGCATTCAAAGAAAGGAACCCAGAGAGATCTATAAACTTTTAAGCTTCATGTTCTTATTCAACCAGATCAGTAAGAATAACTGCACAAATCTAGTTCCAGGATGAAAGATGTGGTTGATTTCTCATTCAGTTTATTGGCACACTAGTACCTCAGTTCCTAGCTGGGCGTCTCTACATAGCAGCCATAGCTACTGTGCTAATTCCTGGATTACACACTTGTACAGTAGATTTCCGAAGTTATTAGAAGGCTCAGAGCAATAGATATTGCTACCATAAAAAGACAGCTACTGAAATTTTGATCCCATTTTTCTAGTTAAAAAATCAGATGTTTTTTCTTTAAGCAGATAAATGCATTTAGACATACGTAGATGTCATTATTTGAGCTCTGTAAGCATGCTTGCATGCTCACCAAAAATGCTCTGCTGTACAGTTTAAAGTAATACCATTTCAATGAGTTGTGAACCTTACAAATATTTGTAAGATAGTTTTTAAAAAAACAAATTTAGCCTTTTTGTGTAGACTAGTTACATGAGACACCTATTGAATGCCTATTCCTAGGGTATCAACATTTACAGCAGTTTAACATACTGAACACAAGATCAGTAATTGGATTGATGTTTTGTGTGTGTGTGTTGCTTACGGTTTTGTAAGCAATACAATTTAGCTATGAAATGAGGTATTTTCTAAAGCTTCTATTCCATTCCTGGTTGCAGTTCCTAATAAGGCATCTTTTATTTGGAAATAACTTACTATTTCAGTTACAAAGCACATACACTGAGCCTTTCAAATGTCCGCTCTACAAGGCAGCATTGCAGCACAGCTGAAATAAAGGAATTTCCTTCATTTTTTACAGAATAGAAGGAATTATGTACAAACCAAACAAAAAATGTTAGTTTTGTGTCTGCACAAGTGGTTTTGATCAGCAAAACACAAAATGTTTTGGTCCAGGTTCTCTCCCTCAATAGCTCCATGTCACCTATCCTAGACAGCCCAGCTCCTGTGACACAACAATAATACCTCCTTATTCCTCCCTTCACATAGGGAATTAACCCTGCTAAGAAGTTGGAAATCTACCTGCCATGCAATTAGCTTGGGAAAGAGAGCGAAACATGAGTATCTGGTGAGGGTGGTTGTACAAATGCTTGTTGTCAAGGTGTTACTGTCATAAAAGGATCGGCTGAGGCAAACACTGTATTTGTGAAAACATGGAACTTGATGGAAACAACCTCAAAACTAACTGCAATCCAATCAAAGCATGTCAGCTGCAGCCAATGAAATCCAGCAATGCTGACGAAAAGAACATTATATGAAGATGGTGGTGAGGTCATTACTATTATTTTGACAAGAAATACACAAATTGCAATTAGTTGCAGTACATCATTGCCCACTGTTGCACTCATATGCAATTTATAATTATGATCATTCAAAATATTAGATTTTCAAATATGTATATATCAGTATGTATATGTAATATTAATATGCATTGATAAGCATCTATATAAATATGTATTAATATGTATATAAGTTAAATGATCAATATGTATTAATACGTACATACATAATTCAAACGAATGCATAGTACTTCAGCCCATAACCCAAGTTTTGAGCTCACCCATCAAAATACATCTAGCAACCTGCTAGAATATTAACTGTGGAACTAAATGGTAATATTGAATGCTATATTTCCAAGACATGGATGTTCACTGTTATGTATGGTATTTGTAGACTTAATATTGAGAAGCAGTATTACAGAATGGCTACAGAGTGCTCCTAGACAGGATTACACAAAAGCCAAAACAGTTTGGTTGCTATTGACATGCTTCTTGGCACGGTTAAATTCTGCCTCATGGACCAAATTCAATACCTACATAGTGTTATACCTCTTCTCTAGAATACATCCCTTAAAAATTATTTGACTTTGGAAGAATGCAGACCAGTGACCTATATGCTATCATTTGCATGGATGACCTGTTAGACTGCAATTCCAACATGAAATCAAATATCACTGTGAAGTACCTTTAATATGCTTCCTGTATTAAAAACACAGCAGTTGCATACGACTAATTAAACTTCCACATCAGCTGTTGAAGTTGCATGGATCGTATTTATTTAGTGTGCCAATAGCTCACCCAAGTTCATTTATGATAGGCATACCCTAAAGAAAACCTTTGTGGCCAAAAGTCTGAATAAAATAATTTCTATCAGAACACAAAATTACCAATCAATAGAAATCACTCTAAAATGGTTAAGCTTTAATATTAGTATTGAATTGGTTTCATTTTCTGGATCATCCAGATGAACATTAGGCAATATTGTGTTGTTTTTAAACAGAACATACATAAGGATTGGATATATTCTTTTTTTAAATATATCAAAGTCTGGTAGGCTTTTAACCTACTGCCTCTTAATTTTCCCCCTCCTATTCCTTTACAGACAGTATGCTTAATTTAATTAGTTTTATACAACAATCACACTCAATCTTAGTGCAGGAGTTTTGCCTTTGAAACAGCAATAATTGTGTGTGTTATGTGTACAAATATATATGAATTTTAAAATCTGACTTTGGTCACAAAAAATGTTTGATGCCTTAATCTCTAAAGTATAACAGCAATGTAGCACTGGAATGAACTGTCATCACAATTATAGTCCATATTATGAAGTCATCACTTTATAAGGTACTGGAATGATGAAGTATAATTCAGATCTCAGAAATTACATACATTTACCAATTCATCTGCTATGCAGACAAGATGTACTTCTTAATCAGGTAAAACTTTCAGATATAAATTTTGTGTGTTTACGGTGATGAATAAAAAAATTTTAAACTATCAGATTTACCAAAATGATCATAACAAATCATTAAACATTCTCATCAGGTTAAAGTTAAGACTGTACTTTTAACTGTAGTTTTGTGCAGTGCAGGAAGATGTGTAACACAGTACTTACTTACCACACATGTGGTAAGTACTAATTCAATAGCATAGCTTCCTCACTCTTCTCCAGAATGCTATCCTTACTGGGAAACATTTCTTCAGACCAATACATATTGTCTAAATTTTTGCACTGAATTTCGTAAATATCATTCTTCCTAAAAAGTGAAGAGCACACATGTCTGTTAGGAGAAAGAGTCTAGGACTCCAGCAGTCTTTGGAATAAAATTATTAATCCAAGTTTCTCTAATAAAAGGAGAAACAAGTATTAAAAGGTCCATCACACTTGTTGTTTAATTATCCACATAATATTATGTAAATATTATTATTGGACTTCCCAATCTGATCAATGAGGCCAATCAGAGTAATAGCAAAATTAAGCAGAAATTACTACGTTTTCTCTAAAAAAATCCCAATTTTTCTTTAATATGGCCATAAAGAGTTCAAAGTGATACCGAAGGAAAATAACCACACATTTCCAAAGCAGAGTTCTTAACTTATGCCAAGAAACAGTAAGAGAAAAACGGTAAAAAAAAAAAAAAAAGCTGACTTTGCATTTTTGGCATCATCTTTCTTGGAACTGTTTTACATCCAGTCAGATAACTGTGTTTTTGGTCTCCATTCAATTTGATTTAATTATCCATAGCTATCAAGTAAAATCTATTAATACTACTCAGAAAGATTTGTTTTAAAACCATTGTATATACAATGGTCCTCTGAGCAAACTAGACATTTATCACAAGACTTGGTACCAATCATTGCATTTATCTTTTTGGAAGGTTTATCTTGCTAGTTCTTAACACCTATCAACACAACAAACCAACTGAGACCAGTTACTCTGTACTGTCCTCATAACACATCAGATTTGTAAGCACTGACAAGAAACCTCTAAAGATTGAGTGCCATGTAGTCAAAATGAGACTCAACATGAATCCAGCCCCCATGACATTAAAGAAAAAGCTTTGCATTGCTCATCTGCACAGTAAATTGCACCCTGTGTTAATACATCTGCTAAGAGGAACTACCTGGCATATTGACAGTTTCCTCAAAATTGGCAGATGTTTTTTAAAAAAGCAGTTAGCAATTCCTTTGTAAAACAATGTGGCATTTACAAAACCTGAAATCTCACCTGTCATTCTGATGTCAAAGTACTCTTTCACAATAGTTATTGTAATTGTTTCAAAAGTTATACCATATATTCTTAAAAGGTGAACTAAAACAGAAAAAAACAAAAGATAACAGCATCAAGCAAATAAATAGAGATATATATAGCTCATAAAAGAATAACTACAAAATATCTGAAAACAGGATATCTAAAATTAGTTTATCACAAACAAAAATGCCCCAGAATTCAGACAGGAATACTTTTTGTTTTGTTTTTCGTTTGTTTGTTTGTTTGTTTTTTTCTGGAATACTCACCTACCTGTTATTTGCAAACTGGACAGGAGGAACCCCAGCAGCACAGTCCCTGAACTGCCATCAGATGTGAACTAGAATTATGAGCCATATCTACCATAAAACCACAGAATGGTTTAGGTTGAAAAAGACCTTTAAATATCACCTAGTCAAACCCTCCTGCCAGGGGGACGCACATCTCTCAGAAGATCAGATTGCTTGAAGCCTCATCAAACCTGATTTTGAACATTTTTAGGAATGGGTTATCCACAGCATCCTCGGGCAACCTGTTCCAGTGCCTCACCACCCTTATAATAAAAAATGCCTTCCTTATGCACAGTCTGAAGTCACCAAGGCTTTAAAGCTGCGAACCCCGCGGAGGCAGCCTGAGAAAGCACCCTTTGCTGACCACCACCTTGCACCAATTGACAAAGATGGTGTCAGGCTTGTGTTCATGGGGACTCCCCTCTTGTCCCCATTGCAAGAACACCATCTTGAGTGCTGCAAGGTGGAGAAGTCATGAGGATGAGAAGGCACTCTCCTCTTGTTTCCTTCTCTACTCTCCCACCACCTGTGAGTAGCAAAGGACAGGAGCACCTCAGGGCAAAGCTGGCAGGGGAGAGCAGAACAGGCAGCGAGTGTGTGATGTGCAGAAGGACTTTGCCCACCCCTGTGGTGCATCATCCAAGTGCCAAAGCAGACCTGGATGGAAAGAATCACAGATGCACAGAGCACCAGGTGCTGGAGGCAGCTCTTGATGCATCCCTGAGGATGAACTCGAGTGGCCAGGAAGCTGCGGCTGAACATGCCTTGCACTCTGGCTGCAGAGACACCTTGACTCAGGCTGGGCTTGGGCAATCAACCACCCCTCCCGCTGTGCCAGGGTGCTGCTAGGCCCATGGGCAGGAGTGGATGTGCCAGGGCAGACAGCACAGCTGCAGGTGAAGGCTCCCGCTGATACCAACACACAGACATGAATGCAAATCGAAGACAGCACTGCACTTTTATTGAATAGAGGGACACCTGAAAAGCAGCAGTCCCTTAGAGGTGCAGGGCATATGGTGTGTCTGGGGATGCAAGAAGAGTGGGCAGGCACCTTACCAACATGGCCCAGACTTCAGGGCAGCCAAGCAAGGCAAAACATGACTAGGGACCACAGACAATATCCTGGGGGGAAAAACTCCTCCTGACTGCAAACGCAGGGCTCCAGTGGTGTCTTCAGGTCACAGAAGCAACATCTAATTGCTGCAAGAGCAGCAGGAACTTGCCCAGAACAGCCCAGAGGAGCCCTGGCAAGAGACTCTGCTCAGTGCTACACAGGAAGGCAAAAAAAACCCGGGGACCTGTGCCAATCTGCCCCAGGGGAAAACTACTTCCTGACTCCAAATTGGCGATCAGCTGTTCCATAAGCATGTGAGCAGGACTCGTCCCCTGGCCCCACAGGCTGGTCACACCTACCAGGGACACCACCACTGCCTGACTTGCATTCACTTCAGGGGCATCCCAGAATGGCAAAAAAGCCCTTGCAGAGATCAGCCTTAGGGACGAGAATCCTTCCTGTGCCCTGCAGGACAGCAGTGGGTGCTCCAAAGCACTAGGAAGGTGCTGGCTCTGATACAATATCCAGTGAAAAGGCAGCATTGGGCACCTCAAGGTGTCAGTGTGCTTCTCACCTCCTCAGGAGCTTCTCTCCATTCCCTGAAGGAAGGTTGCAGCATCACTGCCATTTGAAGGTGGCCCTGCCATGAGCTGAGATAGCAGCAGAGAACCTCCAGCAGCCCTGTTCAGCCTCGCATCTCCCTCCTCAGCCCCTCCAGTTAATCCCAAGAAAAATAAAAATTAAGCATATGAGAACTGATTATGTCCTTAAAATCTCAGTTACTATCATTCATCCTGAAAACTTAATGTGAAAGATATGCTCAGAAAATACACTATTTAATTTGATAAAACAATCAATGACGGTGCAGTGTGGCTTAATTCTTGATTAATGATTCTGCAATGATGATTCTGCAACCTCATATTTGAAATATCGTCCAAAAAAGCTACTGAAAGCTCATGAAAAACTACTGAAAAAATACATGGTGGTGTACTTTTAAGCATTCAGGTGTTAAAATTCGAAGTCTGAAAAATTCAGTTTGAATTAAAAAAAAAAATCCACCATGAACTCAAAAAATTTTTACTTGCAATAATTCTGTAGATCCATAAAAGTACAAGCAAATGAAAATATTTGCTTATGAAGCAAAGTGCTAAGTCTTAACTAGAAGCCTAGCAACTGATTTTACATATTAACATTGTTCTCAAGTAAATATGCCCTTTTTATATCATATCAAATAATACAAGCGAGCAATCATCTCCACTGAAAAAAAGGTTGTGACTGGAGAACTAATTACCAGTCTTCCTTTCGTAGATAAAGATACCTGGCAAAATTAAAGACACATTTATTGCGTATGTCACAGTACCTGTAATGGTTTTTATTCTATCTGGCACAGACAGCATAGACTTTAATCCACATAGACCCTGAGTAGATTTCCTAGTTACAAACATGTGCATTGATGTCTCTTCACTCTATTGTCATCATTAGGTATATTAAATCATATAACAATAACACCAGTTAACTAAGCAGACATAACAGTAATTTTGAGGTAGCATTTTGAGTAACATGGTTTTGAATTCCTTGCTGTCCAAAAATTTTAAAACTGTTCATAACAATTAACAGCTTCCATTATCTCATCCAAGACTGTAGGAAAGGGAGAAAAAAAGGCAAGTTTTACAAAACTATATTTATTTTTTTTTCTTACATTTAAACATGTATTCCTTTTTAGATACCCAGTCAATATTTACTTTATTAGAGAGGAAAAAAAAAGGATATAACTGCAGATCATACTGGCATAACCAGAACATACCTGCATTAGTACTGACCGCTTTACAAGAAGAAACCCTTCTTCAGCATTAAAATCAAGCACTTAAAAAAATATTGCTGAAAAGCAAGTGCCTCAATACTAGTCATGTCAGAAAAAAAACCCAGCTTTTATGTATTCAAATATTTTAAGTTCATAATACACACACTTTCTTATTATGTGGATGGAGTTCAGATCATACAAACACTGTACAGATCAAAACCCTCAAAATTAAGTGTGTGAGAAAATTATAAATCAAATCTTACAAAGCAACAAATTTTGTCAAGTACTACAAAGAAGGATATGTTTTTGTATAATAATGGTCAAGTAACCTACCTTTTCTGCTCAAATAAAAACATAGAAATAATTTCATGATTTTGAGACAGTAACACAAACTGTTGGAGTGGAAACTTACAACCTGCTATACCGAATGTCTTTGTTGGCCACATTCGGGTATTTTAAAGACAAAGTTCAGATCAAAACCAGTAATAATGACAACGATCAAAGTATACATATGAGCACTTAATCTAAATAATACTCTTCTGGCTGCTAAGGAAAAATAAATTAAAAAATACAATTAAAATCCTTGTAAATGCAATAATGAATTCAAAGGCGTGCCCTTATTTTAATACACACTTTAAATGCTACCACAAAACAGATTAATGTATGCCAAAAGGTGTGAGTGGATTAAAAACAAAAACCAGCTACTTAGTTCAAAGAATTATAAAAAATTGAGATAATCTGAGTTTTGGTCAACAAATACACCTAGTCTCTTCTATCTTTCACACACCTTCTTCAATAACTGTGCTCTGGGTTCAGCAGTAGCAGTAATTTTTCTGCTTCTTGGTAGCTGTTCAGTCCTTCATTTTTGACTTTCAGCCTGGGAACAATGCTGATAACACCGACGGTTTTAGCTGTTGCTAAGTAATGTTTGCTCTGACCAAGGACTTTCTGAGGCTCATGCTCTGCCAGGGCGGAGGGGAAGCTGGGGGGAAGCAGAGACAGGACACCTGACCCAAACTAGCCGAAAAGGTATTCCATACCACAGCATGTCATGCCCAGTATATAAACTGAGGGCAGTTACTTGGAAGGGCTAGATCGCTGCTGGGGTTGGGCTGGGTATTGGTCGGCAGGTGGTGAGCAGTTGTATTCTCTTCCCTTGTTATTTCCCTTATAATTATTATTATTACTGCTGGTAGCAGTAGTTGTTTGTGTTATACCTTAGTTACTGGACTGTTCTTATCTCAACCTGTGGGAGTTACATTCTTTCGATTCTCCTCCCCATCCCTCTGGGAGCAGGGGGAGGAAGAAAGAGGGGGGAGTGAAGAAAGAGGGGCTCCGCGGTTCTGAGTTACCGGCTGGGCTTAAACTATGACAGTTCTTTGTGGAGACCAACATGGGGCCTGAAGGGTTGAGATAACGACAGATGTGACCAGAGTGTGTCTAATCGTATCTGTGATAAGCATTCATTGTTTTGGATTAATAGTCACTCGTCACAACGCTGATTTATTGACTCTCAAAGTTGTTGCTCTTGATCTGAGTTTCAGCATGCCGTACCTTACTTACAGCTGGTATTTGCTGTTTTATCAGCTGGGGGGCCTGGGCTAAGGTTGTTGTTTCACTCTACTTTATGGTAATGACTTGTAATACAATAGACTCATTGATCATGAAACTGATCTGGCCTGCATTCCTACTGTGGTCATCACTTCTATACTTTGAGAGGTACATAATGGAAGTGTTTAGCAATTACACATCTGATTTTCCCTCCTCGGGTGGTAAACCTATGAAGAAGACATTCCTCTTAACACCCCCAGCTCCCCCACCAGACTATTTACAGCATCATTTGGGAGTTCTGAAGGTTTTGAATGGCCTTTGGGTACCCTTGAGACCTGCCTGTTGATTGTGACGGGGATCACCATGTTGGCACACATACAGAGGGTGTTTTACCCACGACCATTTCGTCTGATCTCAAAAGCTAAGCAGAGGTGGGGCTGGGTCTTGTCTAGGGTTAGATGACAATATAGGAGGACCAAGAGATTTTCCCTGAGGCTAGACAGTCACAAGTGGCAGGGTGTGTGGGACAGTATGGGCAAGTATCTAGGCCAGTGGGCCCCTCCACTGCTTTGGAACTTCACCACTGAACAAGTGCAAAACCCAGAAAAATTAGTAAAACACTTAAAAGGTGTGTTGTCATCCTGATCATACCAGAGGGGGACAAATGGCAACATGCTGGGGCCTGGCCTATGCTTACAGAGCCCTGTGCAACACTATCCAGCACCTTCAAAGGAAAAAAATGTCTCTGGATCTGATGACAAAGCAACAGACAGAGCAGCTACTCCAAGTATAGCAGCTACACCAGCATCAGTTACAAGTACAGCAGCTATTCAAACCCCAACAGCAACAGACAGCACAGCTGCTGGTGCTGCTCAACCCCCAAGCACACCAGCTGCACACGCCCGACAACAGATACTGCAGCCACTCCAACCACAATGATATCCACTGCAGCTAAACCAAAGGAGCAGTTCGTGCCAATATCAGTTGCCTCTGTAGACAAGGATGAAAAAAAACAAAGAAAAAACACAAAAAGCATCCCATACAGTGAAGAAAGATGAAGAACCAATGCACTTACTAAACAGGACAGCATCTGAACAAGAGTTATTATTATGTGGATCAGAGTAAGAGGAAGAAGAAGAGGCAACTTCTCGACCCCGGACTTCAACCGAGCCATGGAATATGCACAAAAGATTTCACCCATCATCCAGGGGAGCACATCATCGCCTGGTTGCTCCGATGCTGGGACAATGGGGCTGACGGTCATGAACTAGAAGGTAGGGAAGCCAAGCAGCTGGGATCACTTGCTAGGGAATTGGGAATTGACAAAGAAATTGCAAAAGAGAAATGGTCCCTCAGCCTTTGGAGGTGGCTCTTGGCAGTTGTGAAAGAAAGGTTTCCGTGCAAGGAGGATGTTAGGAGTTGTTTGGTCAACTGGACCACACTAGAGAAAGGCATCCAGTCTCTGAGGGGATTAGCCATTGTAGAGATGATCTATCATAGGCCAGATGCTGGGAATGCATCCATAGATCCAGATGAAGTTGAATGTACATGACCCATGTGGTGGAAATTTACATGCAGTGCACCATCATCATGAGCCCACTCACTGGTATCAATAACCTGGCATGATGTAGTACCACCAACAGCGGATGAAGTGATTCGCCAGCTCCAAGAGTTCAAAGCCAATCTCACCCCTTCCATCATTTCAGCTCTGGAAAAACTGTCCCAGGTGTTCAAACAATTGAGAGACGACCTATCCCATCTATCCAGCTCTTCACGTGTACCAACCCATGTTTCAGCTATTAACAAAAGGTGTCCTACTGCTTGACAGAGAAGATATAGAAGGTACATGCCCCAGGCCACCCTATGGTTTTACCTGCAGGATCACGGAGAAGACATGAGGAAGTAGGTTGGAAAACCTACCTCAGCTCTGGAGGAACAGGTGCGTGAACTGAAGAGAAGAACAAAGGTCAAGGCCGATCATCCCATGCAAGATGTGGCTTCAGTCTCTGGTGAGCAGGCTCCCAGATGATTCAGGAAGAGCTGATTTTACTCCAGCTTTTGTGATAAAGAAGACTAATCCCTTTCTACAAAATGTAAGAGACCAATATTGTGATCACTATTAGAGGAGCCCTGCCTCTAGCCAGGTGGAAGTAAGGGACAATCGGATTTACTGGACTGTGTGGATCAGATGGCACATCAGCCCCACGTCAGGTGGCACAAAGAACTGTCATGGTTTAAGCCCAGCTGGTAAACAAGAACCACACAGCCGCTCACTCACTCTGCCTCCTTCTTCCTCCCCCAGCTACTGAAGGGATGGGAAGGAGAATCAAAAGAATGTAACTCCCACGGGCTGAGATAAGAACAGTCCAGTAACTAAGGTATAACACAAAACCACTGCTGCTACCACCAAGAATAATAATGATAAGGGAAATAACAAGGGAAGAGAATACAACCGCTCACCACCCGGTAGCGATACCCAGCACAACTCCAGCAGTGATCTAGCCCTTCCCAGGTAACTGCCCTCAGTTTATATACTGGGCATGACGTGCTGTGGTATGGAATACCCCTTCGGCTAGTTTAGGTCAGGTGTCCTGTCTCTGCTTCCTCCCGGCCAATATCATGGACTGGATGAACTCAGCAGCTTTCTAGGGACTGGTCCATGATCTCTCTATTTGTGTGTGTGTGGGGGGGGTGTATATATATATATATATATATACACAGTTTCATACACAGTATGCTAGAGATTGGAAGGAACCTCAAAAGATCATCTAGTCCAATCCCCCTGCTGGAGCAGGAACACCTAGATAATGTTACACAGGAATGTGCCCAGGCAAGTTTTGAATGTCTCCAGGGAAGGAGACTCCACAACCTCCCTGGGCAGCCTGTTCCATATATGTATATATATATATGAGACAAGAGTGATGGTATATTGAAAAAAATTGAGATCTGAGCATGACATGAATGGTATGGAATAAGGGGTGGAAACTGTCCTGGGTTCAGCTGTAGCGGCCATTTTTCTCCTTCATAGTAGCTAGTGTAGTGCTGTGGTTTTGACTTCCAGCCTAGGAACAATGCTGATAACACCAACGTTTTTAGTTGTTGCTAAGTAATGTTTACTCCGACCAAGGCCTTTTTTGAGTCTCATGCACTGCCATGCAGGAGGGGAAGCTGGGGGGAAGCAGAGATAGGACACCTAACCCAGACTACCAAAGAGGTATTCCATACCACAGCACGTCATGCCCAGTATATAAACTGAGGGCAGTTACTTGGAAGGGCTAGATCGCTGCTGGGGTTGGGTATTGGTCTGCGGGTGGTGAGCAGTTGTATTCTCTTCTCTTGTTATTCCCCTTATAATTATTATTATTACTGGTGGTAGCAGCAGTGGTTTTGTGTTATACCTTAGTTACTGGACTGTTCTTATCTCAACCTGTGGGAGTTACGTTCTTTGCATTCTCCTCCCCATCCCTCTGGGAGCGGGGTGAGGAAGAAAGGGGAGGAGCGAGCGAGCGGCTGTGTGGTTCTGAATTACCATCTGGGCTTAAACTACCACAAACTGGCAGCTAAACAAAAGTACACTTCTGTCATTATGGCTTTAGAAGAAGCACATATTTTCTGAAGAAGAAAATACAGAATGAGCTGCCTTGTCTACAGAACTGCTGCTTTCATACTGCAAGTTCTTCACTGGACAGTGGGGAAGGATCTGACACATGTCTTCCATCCTACTATAGTAGTTACACTACCCTGAAAGACAAGAAGTTTCCAGGAAAAAAAATCTTGTGAAATTTTTGGTGCTATAGGCCAGTACTCAGAGGAAAAAAAATCAAATTCACTTCCATTGCCTTTGTTTTCTAAATTATAGAATAATTTTCAAACAGATGTCTAACATTACATGGCACATCCATATTTTAAAGATGTTGTCAATCATCAATTACCTTAGTGAACGAATAGGCTTTAATACTGATTCTACTTAAACCAGATTCATCTTTCTTCTGTTAGAATTCCTCTGTAGATTTCTTATCAAGGTACTTCAATTCTGCTATTATTACTGGAAGAACAACTTAAATTATACAAACGTGTATTCTTTATATAAAAACTCCTGTTATTTGAACTTTTCTGCAATACTATTGTAGGCATAATGGCAGCAAGTTTTCAAACCCAGAGACATACTTTCTTTTCATTAGTTTCAATAGTATTTAGACAACTATCACCAGTTAAATCAGCCTCCTCAGTATCTTTAGACAGTGACTTTACCATGATATCACAGAGAGGGTTTAATGCAGATACAAACTGATTACACAGTACTGGATAACTGGGACAAAAAGAAATCAATGCAGGTGTCAGAAAAGTAATCTTGAGTTTGTAGCAGCGTAACAAAAGCAAGTAACAGATCTATGACACCTGCCTTCAGCTAAGACATTGCTAGTACTTCCTAAGACAGGATAAATACTTTTCCAGTTTAGTTTTGCTGAAGATACTGTTCATTTGTACCATTTCATTGGTCCATTTATTGATGGTCAAAGAAGCATTCATACTTGACAAAACCTTAAAGCTTTCAGAAAACATGAATTAAAGAAACAAAAGATGGATGCAGGAGAACCAAATCAAAGCACATAGGCATGACATTGTTTCTAAGTGAGGCCTTGGAAAACATGTGGTCATTACAAAGGTTTGGTGGGATCTTTTTGTTTTTAACATCACAAGACAGCAGTTGAACAAATAAACCATTTCCCATGTTCTGCCTGATTCTAGTCATTTGTGGCGCTGAATGGCTTTCCTTTTCCTCCGCTTGAAAAAACAGCAGCACCTGCAGATGTGACATGAATTACATATGACATAAAAAGAAATCACAAAACTAAACTGTTTATTTGTTTCAGTTGAAGTATGTGGTTCAGGTATAGCCAGCAGAAGGAACACATTAAGCTCTATTGTATGAGATTGATTTATTACTGAAAGACACTGAAGTGTAAATATTTTTTGACACATTTCACCTTTACTTGAAAAAAGTATCGCATAAAAAAAGCTATAATAGAAATTAAGTTTAGACAATTGTGTGAGGGTATCAAAAGCATGAGCATTATAGTCTGACTTAAAATTTTGAGAATTAGGAATCTTCTATTACCTCAGTACTCTTTCACATTAACTGGTAATACACCAAACTGAAGCCTGAGCTTCAGGTTGTATCACCTGAACCACAGTTCTAACCAAGTGCACTTCTAACACTACTGTTGCTAATACAAGAAAACAATTTCACCTTCCTTTATCAGCCAAAACTTGGGAAAACTTTCCTGAAGGTTATTCCCCAACATAACTTAAAAGAAAATGTTCATAACAATATAATTAATGTTCTGACTCGGTGCTGGGATGATGCTACTGCAGTGAAAAATAGCACCTTTAAGTATATTGAGATATACTGACATTATTTCTACTGCTTTATTGCATACCACATGAATGAAACTAAAATTGGCAAACTGCAAATTTCACTTAGTAAATAGAGGCAATCTGAAAGTAACTGAAAAAACAAAACAGAAGAAAACAAACTCACACCACTATAAAAGGAAAAAGAATTAGCTGGAGTTAGATAATACAGAGGATGATTGCAGAAGTCCAGAAAGTGTTTTTGAAAACAAAGAGGAAAACAATAAATGCACAAAGAAAACTATTTCATTTACATGTAATTTTAGCCTTACAGAATCACAGAATGGATTGAGCTGAAAGGGACCTTAAAGATTATGTAGTTCCAACCCCTCTGCCATGGGCAGGGATGCTGACTTACAGTCACCAGTCAGCACAGTTCCCACAGGAAAATACCTAAGCCTTTGGAGCAATATAACAGGGAATGAGACCTTAACTATTTCCCTTATTGCAGTGATTTGAACAAATACACTGCTTTAGACCAGACAGATTTTTGCTATTTTTAATCTGCTATGAAATAATTTAGAAGTTACTGTGCAGCAACGGCCTCACAATTAGCTGGCCAGCTACACATCACTCGGTCATAGAATCATAGAATGGTTAAGGTTGGAAAGGATCTTAAGATCATCTAGTTTCAACCCGCCTGCCACGTGCAGGGTTGCCTCACACTAGACCATGCTGCCCAAGACTCCATACAACATGGCCTTGAACACTGCCAGGGATAGAGTTCCTTGGGCAACCAGTTCCACTGCCTCACAAACTTCACAGTAAAGAACTTCCTCCTTATATCTAACCTGAACTTCGCCTATTTAACTTTGAACCCACACACCTGTGTTCTGTTGCTACAGTCCCTGATGAAGAGTCCCTCTTCAGCACCCTTTTAAGCCCCTTTCAGATACTGGAAGGCTGCTCTTGAGTTCTCCAAGCAGCCTTCTCTTCTCCAAGCTGAACAGCCCTGAACTTCTCAGCCTGTTCTCATGCGGGAGCTGCTCCAGACCCCTGATCATCCTCATGGCCCTCCTCTAGACTTACTCCCAACAGCTCCATGTCTTTCTTATGCTGAGGACACCAGAACTGCATGCAGTACTCCAAGTGGGGTCTCACAAGAGTAGGGCAGAGGGGCAGGATTGCCTCCTTTGACCTGCTGGTCACACTCCTTTTGGTGCAGCCCAGGATACGGTTGACTTTCTGGGCTGAGAGCACACACTGAAGTTGGCTTGTGTTCAGTTTATCATCTACCAACACCCCCACGTCCTCTGCAGGGCTGCTCTGAATCTCTCCTCTGACCAACCTATGGCTGTGCCTGGGATTGCCGTGACTCAGGTGAAGAACCTCTCACTTGGTTTGGCTGAACTTCATGAGGTTGCCACTGGCCCACCTCTCAAGCGTGTCAAAGTCCCTCTTGATCCCATCCCTTCCCTCCAGCATATCAACCGTGCCACACACCTTGGTGTCATCAGGAAACTTGCTGAGGCTGCATCAATCACACTGTCCATGTCACCAACAAAGGTGTTGAACAAGATCAGTCCCAACACTGACCCCTGATGAGCACCACACTCTCCGGTTGGACATTGAGCCGTTGACCACAACTCTTTGTGTGCGGCCATCCAGCCAGTTCTTTATCCACCAAGTGGTTCATCTATCAAATTGATGTCTCTCCAGTTTAGAGAGAAGGATGTCATGTGGGACAGTGTCAAATGTTTTGCACAAGTCCAGGTAGATAGTGTCAACTGCTCTGCCCTTGTCCATCATTTCTGTAGTCCCATCATAGTAAGGCCACCAAATTGATCAGATAAGATTTGCCCTCTGTGAAGCCATGTTGGCTATTATCAACCACTTCATTGTTTTTCATGTGCCCTACTTAGCATGCTTTCCAGGAGAATTGGATCCAAGATTTTGCCAAGTAAAGAGGTAAGACTGACTGGTTTGTGGTTTCATGAGTCTTCCATTTTCTCCTTCTTGAAAATGGAGTTATTTTTCCCATTTTCTAGTCATCAGGAATTTCACTGACTGCCATGATTTTGCAAATATGATGGACAGTGATTTAGCAGCTTCGTTTGCCAGCTCCTTCAGGACCCACGGATGGATTTCATCAGGTCCCATGGACTTGTGCACATTCAGGTTGCAAAGAACCTGATTCTCTCCTACCACATGCTCTTAAGTCTTTATTGTCCCAGCCCCTACAGCTGCCTTCCAATACTTGAGCGTCGTGGTCAGAGCATTTGCCAGTGAAGACTGAGGCAAAGAAATCATTGAGAAGCTCAGCTTTCTCCAAATCCAGTGTAGCCAGCTCTCCTGGTAGCTTTCAGAGAGAGCCCACATTATCTCTAGTCTGTCTTTTGTCTGTTACGTACTTATAGAAGCCTTTCCTGTTATCTTTGACATCCCTTGCCAGACTTAACTCTGACTGGGCCTTAGCTTTCGTGACCTGGTCCCTAGGTTCCTGGACAATGTCCCTGTATTCTTCTCAGGCTGCTCGTCTTCCTTTCCACCTTCTATAATCTTCTTTTTAACTTCTAATTTTTCTCATCAGCTCCTTATCCAACCATGGAAGCTTCATGGCCTTCTTGCCCCATTTACTTCTTCTTATGCAACACCCAGCTCCTGACCACCACCTTTAAAAACAGAAATTCCACTTGGGAAAGTATTCACAATTTTCAATCAAAAGTGGACATGCAAGCTGTCTACCTTAGGTTGCCCATTGGAGTTCTGTAGTTTGGTTACCGAATTCTCACTTGCAGGCGCTATACACTCAAGTTTGTTAAATCATGAATAACCTACCTATGAGTCCTTAAGTTCACCAGGCATTTTATGTTGCTAAAATTCAAAAGTAATCCTGTTGATTTAGTTTGGAATATGGCAAATGGGGAAAGCATTTGAAAATGAGGGACAATAAGGGTCTGAAAATAAAGTTCTACGAGGGATGAGAACAACATCCAAAGTAAGGGGACACAGAAGTTACCTTCTCAAAATCTCCAAGGCACCCTGTTGCTCAGTCACTGAAAAAGTAGCAGTGGACAGAAGCAGACCAGAGCTGCTCCGAGAATTACATAACTTTCAGTAGGAAAAAAACTTTCAGTAGGGAAAAAAAAAAATTGGTTATTGGTGGAAAGAAAGCCCAAAATTAAAATTCAGTAAGGGGAAACTACATAGATACATATTTTTTTTTACAGCTAGCAGAAATACACCATATTAACTTTAAAGTACTTCTAAGACAGTCATAACTGTTTTTCAAGACCACCAATTGCAACTGAAATATCACCCTACTAAGCCTTTTTCCTAGCTTCTATCTACAGACACTATCACTTAAGCTTTGAATTTATATGCACATGCATGGAGTCCAAATTAGTTTAATCCACCTTTCAACCCAATCTTTTCCAAAGTATTTTGTGTATGTATACATAACAAACATTAATATATATATATATATATATATATATACACATATATATATACATAAAAAAAGGAAGTACAGTACCCCCTCCCTTTCAATGTGAGTTATCCTGTGATCTTGTAAAGAGGAAATCCTGCCTTGGACTGTGATGCTAAATCCATTTTCTACCTATTTCAGATTAGCAAGCCTTAAAGAAAGCTTACAGAAAATTTTTGTCTTGATTCATAATTTTACTATATACAGAACACAGGTTACAAATAACTGCAGGGAGATGTAAGTGTGCAGACAGTTAATTTATATTCTAGAAAAACAATCCAGAATTTTAACTCTTCTCTGTTTAACTGTATTTTGCTTATATGGAACATGTCTCAAAGAATAGCAGATCACGCTTTTTAAATGTTCAGGACTGAGTGGATCTGCTGGGTAATTTAAGGACATTTTAGGTTTTCTTGCTTTCCTACCCAGAAAACTTTGATCCACCCCTGCTGCAAATCTGATACTCTCCCTTATTATTCTCCATAGCCAGTTTAGTTTGCTACTTCTCTGTCAACCAGAGAAGAAGGGCATCATGCAATGGAGAATTCAAGAGATCTATCTTTAAACAACATAAAGCACTGTTTTTTTTTATCTCCTGGTCTTCTGGTGTTTGCATAATACTATACTTTCTGTTAAGAGTTGTATCACCTTATTGGTTAGTTGTTTTTTTTGTGGGTTGGGTTTTTTTGTTTTGGTTTTGTGGTTTCTTGCTTGTTTTTTTTTTCACTTGTTTATGTGGTTTGTTTGGTTGGTTTTGTGTAACAACTACTCAACTGTACTCTAGTTCAGGGAATTTCACTAAATGCTGAAGACTGTATTTGGTGTGAGAAAATAAATCCCTTCTTAATATATATTATAGCTAAAAATTGTTAAAAGAATGCAAATTCCATAGAGCACTGCAAACCACACGACTGGCTTGGAAACTTACTGAAATGTGAAAACCTAGAAATGCTAGACCTGTC